TTCTTCGCGGGTGCTGGCGGGACGTATGTTATGCAGGCCTGCTCTAAATATCAGAGCCCCCCCCCCCCCCGTGCAGTCGTAAGGGTTGCTGAGCTCACACGATGGTTCTTGGGTTAGGTGATACCTAATTGTTTTAAATAGCATCTCTTCCATAGTTCTCCAATTAGTGTAGAATGTTGCAAAACTAAATTCAGAAATGGGCTAAAATGCATTCTTGTATTTTGAATTTATCCAAAAAATGTCCGTGGTCAATAGAGATTTAAGGGACGAGAAAAAGCGAGGGTAAAAGCAAACCCTGAAGGGCAGCACAACTGGAAGGAATTTAGTTCTTTCACGCTGGTATTAAATTAAAGATGTCTCTGGTTAGTATTATGGTTGATTTTGGCGCTTCTCACCCTAAAGTTTGAAATGCAACGTCAAAAAATCTGAAGGAAACACCGACTTAACCTCACTTTCTTTACCCCCTTCTTCCCTCACACCAATCAATGTTACAGTATAGGGTTGAATATAAGCTTTAACCAAATGAATACCCTGGAAAACCCCACAACCGGAGTGAATTCAGTTTATGTATGGCACTGGGCGCCATGATGCCTTCCCCAGACCTTTAAAAAATTCCTCCCCCCGAAAAAAAAGTCTAATAGAATCTTTGAATCAAGTATACTCCAAAAAGCACCTCTTGATTATGAGGTAATCAAAAACATTTTCTATGGAGAGTTCTCCCCAGACCCCTGGAGAGTTCTCCCCAGACCCCTGGAGAGTTCTCCCCAGAACCCTGGAGAGTTCTCCCCAGACCCCTGGAGAGTTCTCCCCAGACCCCTGGAGAGTTCTCCCCAGACCCCTGGAGAGTTCTCCCCAGACCCCTGGAGAGTTCAAGCTTTATCGGTGCCCTCGTTTTCTGCTCTACGTCCAGATGAAAATGATCTCTACATTTGGTACCGATAGATACACTGCCTAGTGTTGTAGCTAGTATTAGTGCAGCCAAAAATTGTTTTGCCGCTGTCTCTTTTCGCGTTACAAACTCTGCAGTATTCCGAAAATGCTGAACCACCATATACAGAAAAATTGACACCTGGGTGGACCATACCCATAACCCTGATCAACCAACATCATCGGCACCAATTTTTGCGCCCCCGTTAGTCTGGTACCCAGGGATGCATGTACCATCAGCCATACTTAAGCTACGCCTCTGGCTACTGTCCACTGGCACTGCCGGGGGGGGGGGAATGGCTGAAAGAAACACTGGATACATTCCCTTTGTTTGAGTGCATACATATCATTCAGCTTAGTGGTTGTATGATTGTTCGTGACAAACATTATTAGATTAGCAAAAACTGAGACTCGAAGCAATAGAGTTTGACAGGGTGTTAAAGTAAAATAATAAAAATTGGAAAGTGAACGAGTCGACAAATATGAAGTGTTCCATTGTGTCCTGTAAGATCCAGTATGAATTTGTCGTGTCTTAATTAGGGTTTCTCATTTCCCGGAGTTTTACTTACTCCGTGAAAAATGGAAATTACGTTTTTCTCATCCTGAGATAATATTAATTTAATTAGATATATATTATAATATGAATTAAACTATAAAAGAAATGATTTGTATATGTTTTTAAAAGTTATTGTCTGTTGGACCAACCTAGTGGACTAGAGTGCAGTCCTCAGAAAATGCTTAGACGTGAAGCAAAAATATCACTAGAACCCCGGGTGGATAGGACTCGTTAACCTTGGATGGCAACTCGTGTAGGAGAAGGCGAACGTTCAAATCAAACCAGGAGATGAAGTACCATAGGCGGTATGGTATTGACAAAATGAAAATTCTGACCTATAAGGCATAAAGAGCTCATTAAGACACACAGTACTCTGCTGGTCATCTACTGCATCCTTGTCTATTTCAAGCAGTTGCGTAACAACGGCTTGTCAATGAGGCAGTTGCCAAGGGCACCGGCCTGCGCCAGCTCAAAAGGGCGCCGCTAAATCTCTAATTTTTAAATTTTTATTTAAACAAAAGGGCGCCAAAAATAAATTAGCCAAGTGCGTCAAAAACCCAGTTACGCTCCTGATTTCAAGTCGTCTTGACAAAGTCTTGCCATTGGATCAAATAGGCAAGGACTAGAGAGAGTGAGGCTGGCGAATTTAGTATATCTCCCTCACTTAAAGCAAAATACACCTCACGTCAAGGCTACCTCCTAAGTCTTGTTCATCTTCGCGTCCGAAAGACGAACAGCATTGTCTTTGAATGAATCAACAAAACAATACTAAATTAGTTGAGAGGTTGGTCCCTTGCTGCTAGTTGTTTCATTTTCCACGGAGTATCCTTACTAACTGTTCACTGGTTAACAATATGCTTGTTAAGCAATAGTTGGATATAACAGCCTACAGAAAAAAACAAATAAAACCCCCCAATCTACAGGCTGCCCATTCTAGTTTCGAATCGATCACTAATTATTTGAAAAGCAATTAATGTTTCTAATTATAAGAGTGTTGTACTGCGATAAAGCTTTCAAATAGATTAATGAGACAAAAACAAATTGTTGTAAATGATACAGTATAAGGTTGAGCTTTAATAATGGAAACGTTTTGGCAAACGCTTTATCAGTACAATAAAAATATATTTAAAAATGATGTTTCTAACAACTTGTAACAAGGTATTCGTTTCAAATGATAATTTATTTTATTTTTTTTTTAAATAATTTTAAAAAAAAACAACACATTATGAATGTTAATGTACAGGGTGGGCCAATAAAAGTGAGAACATCTCGTAAATGTGATTTAATCACATCAAATTTAGTTTAACTATACCCATACTAGCTTAAATAGTTAAGAAGCAAGGAGGACACATTGAACATGATTTCTGGTTAGCTAAATATTTTACAAAAAAAGAAATTCCATGAAAAATTATGCTTAATTAAATTATATTTTGAAATAACTCATATGCTATGAGATGTTCTCACTTTTATTGGCCCACCCTGTATATGTCTTACTATTTTGAAGTTTAAAAAAAAACCGCATAATAATATAAAGGTAGTTTGACCCCTGTCTCGCTTGAAAATCTTGGGATAATCAAGTTACTAGAGCAACGTTTTTGCCATTCCACACCCCGCCCCCCCCCCACCCACCTTATGACCGTAGCCCTTGATTGGGATTCATTTATGTCTAGGACCACTTTTTGCAATCTCACGGCCCTAGACGCCCTGACCAGCCCACGATTCCTACATTAAGGGGGTGGAGGGTTAGATTAGTTGACGTCAACAATCATGTTTTCTCTATTAACATTTTTATCTTAAAAATTGACTGGTTATTACATTATGTTAACAAATTTAATGAGTGTAAATTAAAGTAGTTAAATATTTTTTGTTAAATAAAAATTTAACTTGTTGATTAACAAGCTAAAGATGCAATAAAATGTTTTTCCTACAATTTTGTGTTATTAAAATAGATCAGCACAAAGTAAAATGTATTTATATTTTTATTTATAATAAAATTCATTATTTATTTTTTTTTAAAGGGTGGGTGTGTAATAGATATGTTGACATAATCACTAAAGAGGAAAAGGGGGAGGGGGTGTCATTCAAAGTTTGACAGGTGTTGACAAGGGGCGGGATGGGGTTAAAGATTGCTTTTAATTGTTGACGTAATTAATATTAACGAACGCCCCCCCCCCCCCCTATTATTTATAGTATGCTAAATTGAAGAGAAAAGAAATAAAGACATAATATGCTTTCCTTTATGGTTGCTATTAAATATATATATATACATATAAGTCCCCCTCCCCCACCCCACTTTTTTTTTTCCTCGGAAAAAAAGTTTTATTTTAATATTCAATATAACTTTGTAATTATAACGGAGAAACAAGTCCGAGAGGGTATTCCCGGTCCATTTGGCATTTGGCAAGATGGCGGGGTCCGAAGAGAAGGACCATCGCCGAAGGTCGGTAAGAAAGGCGTCTCAAAGCTCTTTCCTGATCTCCAGAAACGCCAAAAATGAATTAAGAGAAAAAGTGAAGAGGGTAAGTCTGTCTAAAAGAAATTACATTAATTCAATTGAACCTAGTCTGTAACAAATCATTAAAATTGTTGGTTAGGGCAGCTCATAATTACCATGAATGAATTCGGCCAACCAACTACCAGTCTGAAGTAGCCAGCCGTCACTGCTAACATGCTAACTGTATAATAATTACTACCGCTATATTAAATATAGTAATTCACACTCTTTCCTTACTATAACTATAGGCCTATTTAGTTTAGTTACTTTTCTGGCATTGTTTAAATTGTATAATTTTAAGAACTAGCAAGGAATCAACTTAACTTACTAAACTTACTTTAATAACAACACTCAAACTCAATGAAGACTAACAGGTAACAATCAACAGTTATTTACATAGGCATAGGCAATTAATTAAAGTATTATTGACAGGCACATGGCCTGGGCTATTTAATGTCAAATATAAAGCTAAGTCGTAGGCCTATTAATGCTATTAGACGTGGATAATGATCAAAATTTTGAGTCTGAGTGAACTGAGTGACACTGAGTCATTAAGACGGTGGCGTGGGAAGAAAGGGCGGTCGGCCTAGATCAGAACTTTTTTTTATCTCTTTAGCATTTTTGACCAATTTCATTGGTTTTTTTAATGGAAAGGGGCATCAAAAATCTTGGCCTGCCCCGGGCAGCACTAACTTAACTAACTGAAATTATCTAACCCTAGCTACGTCACTGAAAAATCATAAAGTTTAAAGGCCATGGCTATGACTATGTGACCAACTATGTCCGATCCAAGACTAAGTGTATTCATTAATTTTAAGATTTATTTTATAAACAAATTAGTTGGCCACTAAATAATAATAATTATAATAGTTATAAAACATTTTTTTTTAAATAATGGTTTAAAATGTGTAGGCTAGGCCTTCTATTTTGTATTATTTCTAGCCTTTTCTAAAGTTTATGATTAGGCTTAAATTAATTATTCATTATTGCTTGAACAATTTACTTTAACTTTAAAATTTATTCTTTATTGCACAGATCTCAGAGATTTTAAAGAAGCCTGAAAACTTGAGAACAAAAGCTGATAAAGCTTTTGTTAGTAAGAATCCTGATATCGTCAAAACTTCAGAAACAAATGCAAGGAGGCTTAAAGCTAATAAAGAAAGAGTTCTTGAGGTATGTTCAAAAACAATTTAAACATTTTGTTTAATCCTTTGAAAATTCATTAAAATTATTGAGTAACTAGAATGTTAGCACATATCTTGTACTTGTAACAAACATTTTAAAAACATTGAAATCTTAGGATTTTGTAAACTTTTAGTTATTTTTTAATAATGAAGTGATTATATTTTTAGATCAAAGTACAATATAAAACAAACATTTAAAATAATTAAAAGAGAAAATAAATTTATAAGTTGATGATTGTTTTGAAAAAAAATTCTTAACAGATTGAAGATGAATCAGCTCTGCTTGATACTAAATGCTTGCAGTTAGCTGAACTTATCAAGTCATCAAAACATGTTGTAGTTTATACAGGTGCCGGAATTAGCACAGTAAGAACTAGGGCATAATTAGATAATGACATTGCAATATGAATTCTTGTGTAAGAGCAACCACTTTTGTATTTTTGTGTGTAGAAAATATTATTCACATATTTAAGTTGTACATTCTTAAAAATTCTAGGGCATGTGATGTAGCCCTAAAAATGCTCTTTATTCTAAAAAAAATTTGTTTTAGGTTGTTAAGTTTACTTTCTACCATTTCCAGGCGGCTTCAATCCCTGACTACAGAGGACCAAATGGTGTATGGACAATGTTGAGAAAAGGACAGGAACTCAGGTTTTTGTTCAATCTATTTTTGTTTTAACCCTGATATTTTTCTCTTAATTGTGAGTAGTGTGCATTTGAATATGAATGAGTTAACAAAGGAAGACAAGAGCTTTTTTAAAATCTCAGAATTACTCATACTAAAGCTTCACCTTAGAGTTAGTATATTCTAATGCCCTCTCATTACATTTGTTTAGTCCTCAAGACCTTAGTGATGCTGAACCTACATTAACCCACATGTCTCTAACTACATTGTACAGAGTGGGAAAGGTAAGAACATAGGATTTTTTTTTATTTTTTGCTTTTTCATTTTAAAATTGGTCTTATGTCACCTACATCCCTATTTGAAGATACTTAAAAATATGGTAAGACTCCAGTGGTGGCTGAAATTTTTTGCTTTGTTTTTAAAATCTGTATAATGTTTAAGAAACTCCTTAAATTTTTTTTCTTTTATTGAAAATTCTAAATTTTTAATTTTCTCCATTAGGTAATTTTTGTATACGTTTTAGCAGAAGTTTACAAAATCAGGATATTAACCAATACATAAATTGATCTCAATCCTTAGGTAAAGCATATTGTCTCTCAAAATGTTGATGGTCTTCATATACGAAGTGGATTTCCCAGACATGCACTTTCTGAACTACATGGAAATATGTACATTGAGGTAAAAAAAATGTATTTGAATGATATGCCACATCAATGAACATGAAGACAGCCAGCCTCAGCAAACTTTACTCTAATCATGCTAAACAAACTCCTGGATTACTTAAAATATTTTGTGAACAGTTTTCAATTGTTTTCTAGGAAAGTTGGAAAGGCCTGATCTAGACATTGATTAATTTAAGTAACCACATAAAGCAAGGTTTGGCAACCTTTAGCATGCATGCCAGATAAGGCACACAGCGAAATTTTAAATGGTATGCAGAAGATAAAATATGATAAAAAAAATGTGTCAGATAAGGTAGTCTTAAGGTTTTTGGCATGCTGAATGAAGTAGACATTCTACTTTGGCACAGTAATACCAAAAGGTTGCAGACCTCTGACATAAAGTATAGGAAATGACTTTCATTCATCAAAAAGAAATCCATATATACAAAAGTTCTTTAGAAATTAGAAGGCTATAATTCTTTCAGTAAATAATTCAATCTGAACTTAAAAGTAACATTAAGTTTAAAATTTTTATTTATTTCCTTTAACAATTTTTAAAGACTTTCTCTCTACAATCATTTCCATCTTTTGTGTGGGTAGATCGTTATTTTTTTTGTTTACCCACGTGACATTTTAAGATAGCTTATGCAGTGTTCACCTGGTGAACCACTGGAGGCAGGTTGACACTGTCGCTAAAATTATTCTGGTAGACCGGCCCTGATTCATTGAGTAAACAGGTGGGTGGGTGAGCTCAGATCTACATTTTTAGTTTTATGTCTTGGTAAAGAGTTAATTCATTTTAATCAAGATTTAATAACAGACCTGTTTACTCTTACGATTTTGGCGTAAAATGCACGATTTAGAGGTGTATAATTATAGATACTGTATGTTTATTTTTTTACTATTAAGATAATGTATTGAACGATTTTGTGATGATATTGTACGATTTAAGAGTTTGAGGGTAAACAGCTCTGTAATAAGCATTCGATACTTAAAAAAGTAAATAATTCTACTTTTTTTCGATAATTTAAAGATAACAATTTTAATACTAAAAAGAAGAAAATTTGTAAAAAAAACTTTTAAAAAAAAAAGGCTTTGCAAAGAAAATCTGTGCAGTAAATAAACATTTTTAAAAATATAAAATATTTTAGTTTTATCTAAATTCAATTTGAAATCTCTTTGACAATTTAAGAAATTTTAATGCATTTTAACTCATCTTTGATAAAGTCCTTTTTGTAAAAAAAAGTTTTTTGTATAGTTGTTTATTAATACTTTATTTCTATTTCTTTTTTTTCATCTTATCATTTAAACAGTGTTGTTATTCCTGTGCTCCACACAAAGAATTTATACGACTTTTTGATGTTACTGAACGAACTGGTGTTCATCGTCATACCACTCAGAGACATTGTCGCGCTTGCTCTGGAAATTTAACCGACACGATTGTCCATTTTGGGGAGAAAGGAAAGCTTAAGTCACCTTACAGATGGAAAGAAGCTGTTAGAGCAGCCAAAAAGACAGATCTAATCTTATGTTTGGGCTCAAGCCTGAAGGTAAATAACAGATTTGACATTGATCATTGTTCATGAACACAGGAATCAATTTAGCCGTCTCATTGACTTGCCATACAATTTTGAAAATAATAACACTCAATCTTGCCCAAATCTGTGGACCAAAAAAAAACCTAGTGTGCTATTATAATTTTAAATGCCTGGGATTAACATACATTTTTACCAAAAATGTTGATGTTTTCGGATAAGTATTATTTATTTTAAAAAATATTAAAAAACGCAATAAAATTAAAATACTTATTTGAGGGCATTTCCCTTGAACTCAATAAATAATCACAGTAATATTTGGAGTTTGAATCATCCCAAGCTAATATCAATACCATAGTTAACTGTAGTGATAAAATGATATGTATGAAGAACTTCCGTGAACAAACAGTTGCTCTCAAGCCATGGCATACCTTAAATGCAGAAAAACTGAAAATGTGAATTTTTATACTTTTGACATACATGCAATTAACATAACTGATGTTGGCATTCAGTTAATTTGTGGCTATAATGATACGGTTTGGTTGTTCGCCCTTTGCATGTAAAGATGGCCACAGCTATATTTGACGGTGAATACGCAGATGGCTCGACAGACCTATTAGTGCCTGGAAAGCTTGCCTGCATGTAGGACACATGTGACCTGGGTCCACAGAAGTATTGGAAGCAGTTCTACTTTTCCTTGCTATTCGCGTTCTTGGGGCATAAGTGGTGCGCTAGCTCTCTGAAGATTGTGCTCCATCAGTTAGTCTAGCTTGTGCGATCCATACCAAGTATTTCCAATGAGATCAGGCTGACATATTGTTAATAAAATGCTGTTCATCATCAGGTTCTAAAGAAATATGCATGTCTTTGGTGTATGGACAAGAAGCCCCAGTTGAGACCTAAGCTTGTCATTGTCAATTTACAGTGGACCCCCAAAGATGATTTGGCCACTATTAAAATAAATGGTATTTACTCTTCATTTCATTTTGGTTCCTTTCTAGCATATAAAAATAATGGTTATCATGATTACAAATTTTAATAAATCTTATGATCTTATTGGATGTTTTAGTTTCATTATTACATTTTTATTGCCACTTAAAACAAATTATAAAGTCATTATCTCAAAATACTTCAATAGAAAATAGTTTTTACTGTTGTTTGATGGCTGAAGAAGGCTTTTGCTGACACATTTAATGCATTCTTTTTTATCATGATTTCCCATACTTTGTTTCACTCATTTACACTTTAAACAAATCCTTATTTAGCATCATTTTCTATTTGGATATATTATAATTTTGATTCTATTTTGTGACTTAAGTATCTGAATCATAAAGTGTTAAATTTACTTTAGAAAAGAATGATCTAGTTCATTAGGTGCCATATTTTTATGGGCCTAAGAATTTTTTTTTAGATCATACATGATTTTCAACATTTATTTTTAAATTGTGTTTATTGTAGTATATTTGGTGTAGTCAATTTTCCATTTCAAAATTTCAGGAAAATGTGACTATGTGATTTCTAAGGTTATGGATCTTCTTCATTATGATATACCAATGTATAAACGGTAGGAACATTGCTTTTTTTTTCATAGAGACTGAAAAGTATTTCAGTATAGCTTTCTGCCCTAGTTTACAATCCTAGTTTCCATTGTTGCTCATAAACCTTTAGGGTAATATAAATGTGTATATTTTTACAGTAATTGTGGCATTGTATCACCATTAGTCCCTAATTAATAGAAGAGTTTTTGGTCCAGATTTATATGAGGATGAAGATATGATGCACTATAATCAACATATTGTTTTATTGTCACAGAGAAGCAGATCCCATTTTTACTCTCTACACACCACTTAGAGCTTATGAGCTTAAAACAATGAGTAAAAAAGTTCTGGACGTACCTGCCCAGCTGACAAAGTCTACTAGACGGCAAAGGAAAACAAAGACTGCAGTCACAAAGCAGTCACGTCGCAAACCACCAGCTAATAACTCAGATGTGACTTTGCTGAAAAGTCCCCCAGGTGACATCCAGGAATCTGCTGCAAATTCTTTGACAGTTTTAGATACTAGATATGAAAGTGAAGTGTTCAATCTTATGTCATGTAATTTATCAGATCAGGAGAAACAGCTAGGACCGTCAGAGTTTCCTGATAACAACTATCCTGTGATGAGAAATCTACTGGCCCCTGTATCTCACTTTGGTAGTGAAAAGCTTGCCTTGCTGTCCTCATCCATGCTAAATCCCATCTGCAACACAACCTCAACAAAGTACTCTTCTTTTACAGAGTGCACATCACAAGACATTTATGGCAATCCTCTCCTGTGCCATCCTTCTCTCAACACGATTAATTTAACTCACGAAAATTTAATGAATTCTCAAATATTGGTCTCGGACAAGCGTACGTTTGGGCGTAATAGTTCCACAGATCAGCTTCTTAATGAAGGAACGCCTTTTAAAACTGAATTTCAGTCGGCCAAATATGCACCCAACCCTCACACTGAATGCGTCCATGATGCTTTATACACAGAGAGCAGTGAGTCAACACCTAGCAGTCTCCCAGATGTGGTTGTAATAGATTTGGGAAAAACTGAAATGGTGATGGGCAGAGACAAGTCTGGAACTGTGGGATCAGGCACAAGTAGCTCTGTCTCGCCGATCACAGAAACAAGTGTTCCCAGTTCACCAACTGGAGAGGAAAGTTTAGTTCTGCCTGTGTCTTACGTGGCTCGTCTACTAGAACCAGTTATGGTGAAGCCTCCATCAGTGAGTCAAGTCTCTAAACAAGGTTTTGTAGGTGGTCTCTCCAATTTGCAACCTGGACATTTTGGTGGGACTATAAAGGTAGATCTGTCCGAACTAGGGAATTGTAGCTCATATCCCAAGGCCAGGACCGACCTAGAGGCTACTGACCAACCTTTTCCGAGTTGTGGAGGGGGAGACATTTTAGTTTGCCAACAGCAAGAAACCTTTCCAGGAAGTTCAGAAACTGGTTTTGGAGAAAGTGTGCTCGGCCCTGGAGTGCAGAACACTACTATTCCTTTCTCTAAGAACTTCAATGAGCAGTCTTGTATTGAAAGTGTTTATAATGTTTATCATGACCACTGCTATTTTCAGCAAAACCTAATCAAATACGAATTGAAACGGTCATTAGATGATTTAACTTGTGTACCAGTAGTTCAAGCATGCGATGACAAGCAGTGTCACTTAGGTCCAGGGGTGCCATCGGGTGTGAAGAATGTTGTCAGTGTCATCTCAGATAAACAAAGTTTTGTTTCAGAAAGTTCTGTTGCTTCCTATGATGTACCTGGGGTTACTCCAACTGCTGAAGGTGTGCCTTCCTGCATACTTAACATGGATGACATGGAGCACCTTAAATTAAAAGCATCTAAACATCAGGCAGAACTTTTGCTATCGTCTAAGGGATATGCTTATCCAGATGTGCATTTACCGCACATGATCATTTTGCCAGTCAATCCACTACTTTTGATCTCAGGGACTTTTCTACAAAAGCAATTATTTGTTGACCATAGACATAGAACACTGCTCTCAAAAGCAGAGTCTGTTTTGGAAAATGCTCAACTTTCTAGAAACTCTTTAGGTGCTGATGTTGTGAAGCAAAGATGTGATACAAAGCCTTCACTATTTAAATGTAACCCTGTCATAGATTTGGACACCAGTTGTTTGTCAGCGTTTGGCTCTTATTTATCAGATAATTCTGGCATTGCCACTGGTCTGTCCACAAGCTATGTAGATCTCACTCTTCTCTCTCAGGAAGCTGTATATACAAAAGACCACATGCAAGTTTCACTAAGTGGGTCTCTGGTTATTATGGACCAGGGTAAAAAAGGTTCTGGTAATGTTCCAGAGCTTACTACACAAGTGGTTGATAATAAAGTTTCCTATTTGTCTTCAGAAAACAACAAGCCACCAATTTCAATGCACAATAAACTATTGAAAGTTCAAAGCAATAAGGACATAGTCTTTGAGGATAAATCAGTAAATGATCCAATCACCGCCAAACAAACTGTGATATCGAACTGTGCAGAGAATAACTTGATGGGAGATGTGATCAAGGTAGACCTTAAGGGAAGGGAAAATGTTTGCATCAATTTGAATAAGAGAAAGCATGTGGTTGCAGCGGTCCCAGGATGGTTTGGTAAAGGTCTTGGTTTGAAGAAGAAAAAGAAATAATAATGAGGGAGTTGATCCATGCAAGAGGTTTGGCTATTTTTTTTACATATGTAGATGTTAAAGTTTATTAGCCTTGGTAATTTATTTTGAATATATTTCACAATTACCATGTGGTAGAGACACTGTAAAATAAAGATAACCCTTGGGGACAGCAATGTTCAATTTTTTGGGTTTTTTTTTGTCTCTGTTGGGTGGGTGTAAGATGTATTATGTTGAATACACAATTACTTCATAAAGAAACTTGTTGGCCTCAATTGTGCTTATTCCTGCACCTTAATGTAATCTATCAACTAAAACCTAAATGGTTATTCTAATTCTACAAAAAATGTTTTAGAAGTCAGATTATTTAATTTATTATATATTGATTTTAATTTATGAATGATTATTACTATGCAAGTATAATTATAACACCTTTACAGGGAATTTCTAATTTTATTTTATATTGTGTCTTAAATTGGTGCAGATAAAATGTTGTTAAATGATGTCTAGAATAGATTGTCTGCATTGATGACATAATTTCTTCAGATAATTCATTTTATTTTATCAAATGCTGACTACTTATACTTGTAGTGATGTAAGCTATTGCAGTGGATCTAAGTTTATTGGTTATTTTCCCTTATACTTTTAAGCAAATGATGATTCATTTTGATAATTGACTTTCTGGACTCTGCCAATGTTATCAGTGTTATCTGCCAGGTTAAACTCAGTGTGGAAGAAAAAAAACAGTATTTATTATTATAATTGCTTCTGTATAACTACTGGCAAAGTATGATCTACCCGCATGTTTCTTACTGTGTCCTTATTTCATAAATATGTTATAATGTTCAACTGGTAAAAAATATAATTTTGACAATTTACTTTTTTTTTTTTAGTTTTTATTTATTTCATTTCCATTGAATAACATGAAAAAAAATGATCCAATTAATTAATTTTCCGATTTCAACATTTTAAAAAAAATTTTAAATTGATTGATTCTAAAAATAAAACTTTGCTAGAATTTTTTAATAACCAGTTTTTGCATATTCTAATATCCAGGATAATTGCATTATTCTAAAGTGTCTTTTCATCTGCTTTGAGAGATTAATAACTTCAACATTTAGCCCACTATTTTTTTTTTAATCTAATGATCTACAAAGATTTGCTCTGTTGTCCTATTGGGTTATGTTTAAATTAATTTTAACCATGTTAACCATGAGTCGTTTTCTGGTTATTATTGAACATGAACTATTATGTTGTGAAATATTTAACTGGACAAAATTACAAGGACAATTTGTAATAACAGCTTCTTACACTGTTTACGACTCCTCCACTGAAAGCTAAAGTTGCAAATTCTTAAATTCTTGCAGCATTCAAATCTTTTTAGTTTAACTTTACACTTTGATTCTTTAAATCTAGTTTTCCCAACTTGAGCACTCCGAGAGGGTGCAAGGAAAATTTATAAAAACATAGGAGCTGTTGAATTTAAGTTATAAAAGTTAATTTTTTTTAATATTATTATTCACTAACATTTTATTTTATACAGGTTTATTAAACCACAAGTTATATTTAAAGTTATACAGGTCTGGTTGAAATTCAAACGAAATTGTGAAGTCCATTATGTTTTGAAGTGAAAAATGCAGTTACTTTTGTCGGGGGTCGTGAGTCTTTGTCAAACAATTTGTAGGATCTTTGAAACTTATGCAAACTATTCGTTCAGCATGTTCTAAAGGTTGAGAAACCCTGCCTAAGGTTAATTTTCTTAAACATGGCTAATTCTAATAACCAAAAAATGTTATGCCCCAAGGTTGCTAGTCATTTGTGTAATGATATCAAAACCTTCCACGTTTATTGGCCAAGATAAATGATCCTTCACTTTGATCACATTAATTAATTTATTCATGTTAATGGTGTTTCAACAACCATCCATAATTTATTCTAGCAATATTTTTATGCTATTTGTTTCATCTTCATTTAAATATTGCCACATGTAAAGATTCCCATCAACAGAAATGCTCAACACATACTTTTATATTGTATTGTTAAAACTCTTAACATTTAGGAGTTAGTAAAAATGTGGATGTTGTGCACATACCTAATTAGTGCTTTGTTCGATATTTTAATAATTCATGTCTTCAACATATAACATGCTTTGTAAAGAAAAGTAATGCAATAGGACGATGATGTGTCCCTCGAGACTAATTTTAGCCACATGAACAAATGCAATCTGATCCCCCAACCCTGATCAAGGCAGCACTTGACAATATTTTTTATGTCCATTGGTTGACTTGATGTAGAAAATTTAACTGTACATGTCATTTTAAGACTTTTATGTTGCTTTGTGTGTGTAAGTTTTTTTATTTGGTTAATAAAATTTAAAAGACCTCTTTTCTTTGTGTGTCTATTATTTGTTAGGAATAGTTATTTATATAAGGCTCTCTATTGTGAGTTACAGATTAATAGAGGGAAAAAAAAAAAAAAAAAATTTATGTAGCCAAAACTGAAATGAAATATTAAAAATGGTAACCATGATTAAAGTATTTTTTTTTTTAATGGTTATCTCATACCGTAATTATATAAATTAAGTGTCTTGAGACATTTAAAAGAAAACTGGTGCATGATTACACACAAATAGGAATCAAAATTAGTTTAAGTTCTCATGAAAATTTATCTTAATATTTTATTTTTTTTTCTGGTTAAATTTAGACATGTTCCAAAAAAATAGCTTATTATAAATTTCTTAGATTATTTTTGGGAAAAGAAGAACCAATGACAAAATGTAGTGGTACACATTTTTAGTGTTTAAATTAAGGTTATTTGCAAATAAACAAAATTCAAACATGTCATGTTTAATTATAGCTTCTCAAGATCTGCAGGGTAAATATTTATTGCGATTAATCTATTACAAATTTACATATTCCTATATTTGGAAAGCTCAGCCATCCTTTCTGACTTAAAGCAAAATTTTGATTCAGTTTTAATTGTACCAACTATGGAGTTTTACAAAATCTGGAAACATTTTTAATTTTTTCTCCTTATCTCTAAATGTACATAATTTAATTTGGAAAATAAAGAGACTTTTTGTCTCTTTTGACTTGAACGTTTAATTAAATCTAAGAAAAACAACAGTAACTCAATTTTGTCAAGCTCATTTTGACAAAAACACTTTATTTGTGTCAACAGATAAAGAAAATAGGTAAATAATAGGTAAAGTGGCAAATTTTTTATTCTGCATGCCTAAATAAATTGTATTAGAATGTTCTGACGATCACACAACGTTAATTACAAATATTCAGCCTTTGTTCACAATATCATCATGCTTTAAATCCAAGGGAAAGTTTACAATTTTTTTAATTCTGTAAAAGGTCTGTTATCACCTATGACATCCGTTTCACTATTTGGAGATATTAACTTGAAAAGTACAGGTGTTTGAGCCAAATTAGGATTTGACTTTTCTAGCCATCTGATCCAAGCAACCACACTAGATTTTGTCGAGGTTCCTGTGATGCATAGACCCAAGATTGTGCTGTCTTCTTGTTCGTGAACACTTAGCACTGGCTTTATCTCCTTGTAATTCTCTTCATAAAAGTTGACCCACTCGAAAAGATCTGATGAAGTTAAAAGAAAAGACTAATAAATTTTAAACATTTTGAGAGTGCCAGTAGTTGAATTTTTGTCAAGCTTCTGTTAACTAGCCTGTCTTCCCCTATTTCCGCATGCTCTTTGACACTCAACCTTCCTGGAAAGTTTAACTTTTACTTTCTCCACCTGATTTCCATTTTAAATCGCACTCACATGGATTTAGTTTTTACTCTCTTTTTCTAATTTGTATTAAGGTACGCATGTGTAAAATGAAATTACAATAAGCCAACATAACCACATTCATGTTTGTTTTAAACAAGCATTATTTTTAAATCAAGACAAAAGAAAGAGGGCACCTGAATATTTTTTTTTTATCATTAATCATGAAATTAATGCCAAGCATTCTTCTAATTATGAATAATTCTCAATAAGCTAATATAGTACCTAATGGTGTAAATCATATCAGAGTTTTATAACAGTAAGTTGTACTCATCTTAAGCTATATAATATAATTAACTTACTTTCTTCTTTTTCTTCCTCCTCTTCAAGTTTTTTCTGCTTCATTAAAGAATTAATGTTTGGCTCTCCTCGTAGCAAAAAATATCTTTTCCCAACATATCGCATGTACACAGGAAAAGGACCTTCAACAAATAATGGCTGTCCCGTCTTGTGTTGACTAATGAGTTGCTGTTGCGTGGGACTCTGGGCACTTACAATAAAAGTATCTTCTTCTGGAGAATCCTCCATTTCTACTGTCTAGGAATATGTTGAATATCATATAAACCGGGATCATTTTTAAAAATGAAACAGAATATACTTTGCTAAACTACTTTTAATGGACTACATGTTATTTAAATTGATTTCCCCATACCCATTAACAAAAAGTAACAATGTTTTTTTTTCTTTTATTCAATACATCTATTACAAAGCAATTCTATATTTGATAATTAAGTAAATAATCAACTCCATACCTTAATAACATTGTATTTGGTTTTCTCATCTACACACATCCTCTTCAACATGAGCAGAGCTAATTCAATAGGATCATTTGGCATGTCATAAGGAACTGGATAAGGATTCATATTCTTAAATTTTGGCAACCAATACATCATACGTCGATACTTCCTCGTGACATGGGCCGTAGAACCAAAGCGATTTTTTAGCAGGACACCAAATTCATCATCTGGTATCACAGCTGAAGTGGGAAAAAATGAATAATTTTCCATTTTAAAAATATCATCAAAGACAAATTCATACTATTTTATCATACTTTATGGTTCTTTGAAAAGTTAGAGTTGAGCCTTTCAAAAGAAATTTCTAGATACATTTAGTTTACGTTTCTTACTAAACCCATGTGGGAACAACCTTTTTTTAAAGATATTCTTGATCAAGAATGGCACTTGACACAAAAATTTAACACTGCTAGATTTTTTTTTTTCATTTGCAACAAACCATTTTAAAAACTTCTTCTCTAAGTAAGGGAAAACTGCCTGCCCATCGTAGAAATGTCATTTTGAAATTTCAGATTGTTCTTATAGTAACTTAACCACTTTGACATCATAATTTGTGTCTGAAGAAGTGTCAACAAATATACAAATCTTGGCTCCCTAAAAGATGCAGTATGCACACCTAATATTGTTCGCCTCATTTTTAGTCTTTTTTGTAATGCTATCAAGAACTTCTTGGGTTTACAGGAATTCGGCTTGGAAATTATTTGGACTTTGTTCTTTCACATTTTTATTACTTGCTCACACAGCAATATTCATCAAATTGATTCGACAAAGAGTCGAGGTGTAGTCAATTACAAACCAAAATGTCTGCATTATCTTTAAAGTTGAAAAAGATAAATTCATTCTTAAATATGACCCATAAAACTCACAATCAACATAAAAATGTTCTGGGATCAAAGCAGCCAAATTGTCAATGTAAATCTGAAGAAAAAAAACTGCAGCAAAAAACAAGAAGTTTAAAAAATAATATTTGCTGGAACAAAATGGGTGCACAAAACTGGCCTGAAGAGTTTTCAAATTTTTTTTGTTTATATGTGCAATTCAATAAGCAATGAATTATTATAAAAAATCAAACTAACCACTTTGTTCCATCTGCTCCATTAGATCTATTCCACACTGTTGCTGTCTGGGGTAATGCATAAATTCTACTTGCCACACATTTCGAGGAATCATCTTTTCTTCTGGAAAACACTGCAAAAATTGTTTGAATTTAATACCTTATATTATTTTTCTGTGAACAAAACACTTGTTTTAAGACCTGTTGCTTTTTTTTTAATGTAACTTTTTTGTAACTTTTAACAAATCTTTTAAAACAAATACTTTCCTTCCAAAGATACAAAAAACTTAAGATTGCATTAAGAAAATTTCTGCACATGTGATTTATGTAAATTTGAAACCATCATCTTCCCAAATGATACAAAAATAAAGCAAATAAATTTACTTGTATAAGAGCTTTATAAGCAGTCAAGTCTCTATTTACACCAAAACGCTTCATTTCACTCAGGCCAGCATAGATAAACTCTAATGCTCCTCTGCGATATAAGGTGTCCTTGGAAATATACTCGTTGATTGCATAAATAAATGTAGGTTTAGAAGCCCCTCTGTAAACGATAAGTAAAAATGTTCTGAAACGTGGCTTATAATAGGCTATTTCTTCTTACAAATATGTGTGTGGTTGTAGTGGAAAAGTGGGGGTGGTGTGTGTGTGTGTTAAATCAATTACAATTTTTAAAATTTACCTAAGAACAATAATAATAATGAATTATAAACTTTTTTATTTGCATTTCAAGCATTGACTTTTAAATCTCATTTTGAGAAAAGGTGCATACTTTTCAGTGGCAATCTTGTCAAATACAGCTCTAGCCTTTCTCTCCAACTTCCTGCTTTCTTCTGTTATTCTTTTGGGATCGTGATCTGGGAGACTTGATGGTCTCACCTGGAATATAAATATAATATTTATGATCAGTGGCAGACAAAGGCAGGAGGTATTTGTTTAACCCTTTTTCATTTAAAACATTTTAATATAATAAGGCATCAAGTTCTTTTTTTATTTTTTATTTTAATTAATGGAGATCATCTTTGTACAACTTTGGTCTTTTGTCTTTTTAAGCTCTGCTTTCATCTCCAGACATTAATTTTGTATAATAATCAAAATAAAAAGAAAGTCATATGTTAAAAAATGTAATAGTTTAAAATTAAAATAAACAATTTTGAAGATTTTCAGTGAAATGTATTATCAAATTTTTAAAGGAAGCATTATTGAGCATTGCGTTTTATCATTTTTGTTTTGATAGAAATTTATTTTCTAGGTAAATAGTAAAATTTACACCTAAATGGAGCAACAATTTATTTTCTTAATTTAGATCACTGCTTTCTTTGAAATAGAGCTATATGCATAGATATAAGATACTAAAAAAGAAAACTAACCAAAGGCTGAGAAAGTTGTGCTTGTTTAAATATCTGTGGCTTGCCAACAGCTGATGAAGTTGTTCTTTCAGTTTCAGTAACTGATTCTTCATTTCCAGATTGGACCATGACATCTTCAGGTTTTTTATTTATAATAATGGGGTCACTTTGCTTTTTATCCTTCAAATTATTTATGATTGCAGATACATGGAGTCTTCTTACTTGATAAAATCTACTTTGGCAGTAGCTGTGAAATAGAATAAGTTTAGTTTATGAATTAAATAATGCTCTATTTTTTAAAAAATCATTTAATTAAAAATATGTAATAATATTAAAAAAACAATTACAGGAAAGAAATAATTCTAAAATTTAATATAAAATTGCTTATGTCCATTAAATTTACCAATGTATTTAATTTAATAATACAAATTCAATAAGCCATACAAAAATGTATCATATAGCTGTAATAATTATGCAACTATTTTGCATTTTGAATACACTCTATTTTTTGGAAATTAAAGTGTCACTTTCAAACTTATTCATTTCATGGTATTCCAAAGCACCTTTAGCTGAGTTCTCTGTCTATCTCTCAGTAAACAAATACTGCAACTTGACAATGTTGCATGCTAATTGTAACCAATTTAAATGAGTACCTGAAAGAAAGTTGTTTTCTTTTATCATTCCAGGTATTCCATGCTACTGGTTGGACAGGTGTGTCAGCAACAATTTTTATTGACGCTAGTAGAGCATCATTGATACATAAGGCTCCACATTTCTTGAAGCAAAGTTTAAGCATTTTATATCCTTCAATAAACATACACCAACCTGGTATTGAAAGTTTAGAAAATATATGGGTTGGGAACTAGGGTTATAGCTATTTACTAGGAGTCTGCTGAATTTTTTTTTTTTTTTGCATCTCAAAATTCAAACTTTAGGGTAATTATTTATTCATATTAGGCTAGCACATGTAAAGTGGAACCCTACAATAAAATACCCAGCTATACTATGACTATATTATAACTTTTATAACACATATCAGAAAAGCACAGGCTGCTGAAATTTCTAATCTACATTCAGATATGAAATGGGTTTTTTTTAAACATGAAAAAAAAAGAAGAGAATACAAAAAAATTTAGGTAAACTAGTAGTTTACAAGACCTCAATCGGTTAGCTGAGTGGGAGATAAGCTGGGACATGGAATTTCATCCCGTCAAGTGCCAAACCCTGTCAGTCTCCAGAAGCAGGTTCCCTCTAAACCACTCTTACGAACTGCATGGCCATATTCTTGAGCCAGTTTCCTCCGTTAAGTACTTGGGTGTTACCATCCAAAGAGAGGTCCGCTGGGACGAGCACATTAACAGTGTGTGCAACCGGGCAAACAAGACCCTGGGGTTCCTAAGGCGCAATCTGAAGATCGGCAACTCAAGCGTGAAAGAAAAAGCCTATAAAGCCTTTGTCCGACCTATTTTAGAGTATGCTTCTACAGTCTGGGACCCATTTACCCAGAAAAGCATAGACAGGTTGGAGGCGGTCCAGCGACGGGCAGCACGCTTTGTCATGAACCGCTACAGAAGCACCTCGAGTGTTGGCAGCATGCTGGAAACACTGGGCTGGTCGACATTGGAAGAACGACGACGACTATCCAGGCTCACCATGTTTTACAAGATAAAAAATGGGCTGGTGCACTGCTCCGGAATCAAACAGAAACTCGTTCATCTTCCCCCCAGACTGCGACGAAGTCACGACAAACAGTTCCGGCTGGTAAAAACAAGAACGAAGTACAGAAGCTCCTCATTCCTGCCGAAGACAATAGGGGACTGGAACAAGCTTCCAAAAGCAACAGTTGAGGCGGCTACACTCGATACATTTGTGTCTATTGCCTCCTGTATTCCAACCCCCAGTTCATAACACCACTGCTGAGTCGCCCTTGCAACCAGTGAAGTATCCCATTGAAACCCATGGACAGTAACATCGCAAACCTCTCTGAAACATAGGAGCCAGAATGATCAATTCATTGATCGTGGGCCCTTAAAATAAAGAAGAAGAAGAAGTTTGTCTATATCTGTAAGTGTAAGCATCTGTTCTAATTAATTTGTGTATAAATTTCCTATCTCCTTCCTTTTTGTGCCTTTGCTATTTTGTATTCTGCCATCTTGCAGGCAGTACTAATCTGTTCTCAGAAAAAATAAAATACTGTAAAACATGGCAATGGCTTTAAATGCTACCCCACAATTTCCGGAATTTCGGAATCCAATTGTAAGGACAAAAATTATCATTTTATTGTGAGGTTTCACTGTCTCATAGGCCTACTAATAGGACAAGACACAATTTATTTGACATGGTCTCTCTGGTTTAAATTTTACAGAATTAAGATTAGCCAACTCAGACTAGTAAATAAACTATGACTGTAAGAGTAAGAGTAAAAGATTTGGGCCGTCCATAAATGACATCAAGCATCTAGGGGGTGGGGATTGGGGGGGTCCACATAATTGTGATGATGTGTGACAAGGGGGAAGGGGAATGCAATGTGATGTCACACTAAAAGCTGAACATTCTTTTAAAATATTGCAATTACTAATAGTAAATTACAAACATTTTAATTATTCTTTATACAAAAATTATAAGTATTTAATTTTTAAACTACGATCACTGAGAGAATCAGTACAGGTATGTGAGGTCCCAGAAATTGCATATGATCATATTACAGGATGCTATGGAGGAGGAGATTAGGTGTGTCATGACTTTGACAGTAGTGAGAATTTATGTTGCAATGTGGAGACTGGGTGCCATAGATTCAAATACGAATCGCCGCTATTCGGACCCTGGTCCCTTTAGACTAAATCCCATTCGAATGTTATTTGTGGTAGTTTATTTTAGTTAAACTGAAGAAGTAAGATTACACTGAAAAAGTAAGTTTACAAACATATAGTCCATTCAATTATCTTTCATTTGATACCTCATTTTGTCTTACAAACCCAACATTAATATTTCAAATAGTTTTTTAATCCCAACCTCTCACTTCTGATACCCGGGTGCAAACAGCCACTTCGAATTTTTTAAGGGTTTGTAAAGGACAGTGGTGGACAGAGGGATTTTTATACGGGGGTGCAGGGGTTTGCGAGGTTATATATTATGAGGGAAGGGTGGGGGGGGGGGGGGGGGGGAACATTTGTGTGCCGATTTGTAATGATGGGGGAGGAGGGGGAAAAAGATGGGAAGAGAACAAACATTTTTGTGACGATTTGTAATGATGGGGGAGGAGGGGTCAAAAACTGCAAAATTTGTGTGACTTCAATAATGGTAGGCCCCTTTATACTAATGCACACCATCATTAGCATCAATTTTATTAAGCCATAATCTAAGCCTACTGAGCTAATGTGTTTTAAGTTTTAAAGTATAGTTATAGCATACTGCATAGTAATAGTGTTGATTTATTATAAATTATATAACTATATAGCCAGTCTATAGCTACTGCCTGGTATAGGCTAATACTTGAGGTCCTTCTCTTCTTTGCCTGGGCTAACACTGATTACAATGACCTTAACTCTGTCTTTTTAACAGAAAGTATGTTCCAAGAAATTATGAGTAAATTAGTATTAGCAAATAATAAATTGAACCAAATTACATTTAAGTACCGGTACTTAAATTAAAATGTTCATGATTAATGCCCATACTCATACTATACTCATAGTAACACAAAACTCGCCAATTTGTGACTTAGTAGTTTAGTAGTATTAATGGCATTAGTTTATGGGAGGTGTTATACACAGTCAATAAGTGGTTTATTACCAGCACCTAGCAATTTTTAAAAAAAAAGAATGTACGCAATGTAGGGATTATGAGCTGTATTGAATCTATGATTTGTTTTAATTTTAACAGTAACAGACTTTATTATTTAAGATACTAAGATTATTATTTTTGCTTCTTATGAAGTGTCTACATGTCCGGCAACCGGATGAATAAGTTCTCAAGATATTCCTCCGGTGACCAAGGCTAACAAAAAATGATCAAGCAACACATGATCCAATCACAATCAACAGAAAAGGTGATTACAATGAAAGATATTTATAATAGGAAGTGTGTCAGGTTAAAGTCTGAGCCTTGGAGTTGGAGCAAAACATGGTTTTGTAAAAGCTGCTTAAAAAATAAATAAATGTTACCAATTGCAAAAGGACTTATTTTTAATGAGTGACAAATTGATCAGTTGATTTAGTCTATATATTGGGACCGGGTCCGAATAGCGGCGGTGCCTATATGGGGTTCCATTTTGACGCCTAAATTTACTAAAACTAAATGTTATTCGGATGTCATTTGTGGGAGTTTATTAGTTTATTTATATTTAAGTTAAAATGAAGAATTAAGGGTACAAAAGTTTAGTACATTCAATTATCTTTCATTCGATACCAAATTTTATCTTACAAACCCAACAATAATATTTCAAACATTTTTTTAAATCAAATTAATCCCAACCTCTCACTTCTGAACTTCTGGTAGCCGGGTCGGAATAGCCACTTCGTTACTTAGACTTAGGCATTAGGTCCATGTCTATGTCGTTATTATTACAGTCATAATTGTAATATTACTATTAAAGTACTCTGGCTTGGGCTGGTCATTTTGAGACTTTCACTTTTGGTTTTATTTTCACTTAATTTAAAGTTTAAATTACCTAAATAGTAAATATTGGCAATAATTATAATGACAATTAACTATTAGTATTAGAATTATTATTATTGTTGAAGATCACTTTGCAAACTCGAACTCGAATGGGCAGTTATCCCCCCCTTGCATTATCCTATCTTTTCTTCGCATAATTACTAGTTAATTGTTCGTTGTTTTTAATAATTTAATATATCCATTCATATATGATTTTGATGCTAAGGAATAAAAATCATTTTTTTTATCCTTTTTGAACATTTTCCCTATAAAGTACAATGGGTCTTATTCTTTAATAATAAGATAACAATCTCTTCACCAAAACAGACATTTCTTTCAAATATGAAGATATAGTTTCGTAGGCAGGGCTATGCCGAGGAAAAGCGTCTTACCGGGCGCGGTCTGACAATGGCGCCCAGTGTCGTCTTAAGGCATGGGCTCACTGGGCAGTTGCCTAGGGCATCATGTTCCAAGGATCCTTAGGCTTCTAGGAGCATCAAGTTGGCAATATTGTAAATTAATCTATATGTCTATATATATATATATATATATATATATATATATATATATATATATAT